GGTCCCGTATTATACTACTCAAATGCTAAAGTAGATTGGTTGTACACTTTTACTAATGCAGTTTTGTACTTTCTGAGATCTAAATAACAAGAATCACCAAATTCCTGTATCAAATTTATGATTCTATGATCTTCTGATTGCTTCCTACTTTTAGCAAATTTTGTGCCATCACAACAAATGTCGAGCGGTGCATTTGTTGAGTTAGCACTTTTCAGTGCTAACCCTGGACTGCCAATACTGTTTAATCAATCCTGATCCTATAGAGAGAACTATCACTAACCAAATTTTGACTGTTGACATTACATACATATATATATATATATATATATATATATATATATATACTATGGGCTATGTTAGTGGCCTTTGTTCGTTATGATGCAATGAGTCGCTTTACTATTTTGATTTAGTGGAGAACGTACAAACATTTGCGACTTAAATCTCCACTCTCACTGATCTAATCTCAAAGATTTCTCTCAGCATGCATTAGACAATGTGTGTTTCTCAGCTCTCCTTGTAATAATCATATGAGTTTGACATATGCTTTGAAGCGAGTAGTTCGCAAGCCTCAAGGGGTACTTTTCGGTGTCGGATGTAGCTAACAAGCAATGGGTTGAACCAAACCCAGTAATTCAGTACGGAGATTAGATATAGATGTACGGAGATTAGATATAGATTAGATATTTTAATATGCCTGCATATTAATATATATGTTACATTTTGAACCCATAATTCTGAAAGTGCAATAGGTTCAGTAGTAAAACCATAAAGATTGAACCTATCAAGTCACAATCCAAAATTAGCCTCTCGTACCTTTTCGTGGCCGGCCTCTTTTTTGTCCTAGTGGTCCATTGTCATTGATAAGGTTGACATTCCATTCATCAAATACTTCAGCTCTGATAGAGTGTGAGATATGTTGTCAATCTTGATATTTTAGGTTTTTCAAAGTTATGCAAATTTAAGATTTAGTGTCAGTTTGTGACAATGTCACTAGGTGTAAAATCATGGTGAATGAAGGAGTTAAAATAGGACGAGGTATACCTAAAATCACATGGAAATAATTTGTCTCGAAGGACTTACAATTTTGGGGATCCATGAAGACAGAAAAAGATAGGTCACAATGGAAGAAAAGAAATCTATATAGGAGATACATATGAGTTTAGAACTTGTTTTAGACTTTAGCACTTTTACTGTAGGTCTTTTTTTCTAGGAGTGGTTTAGCCTTACGAGACGTACATTTAGAAAATATACAAAACTTCTAATAGAACTTATTTGTATTTGCGTAACATTGACATGAGATGAGTTTAAATGGTATAACATGGTCAATAAGGATTCATATGGACAACCCCAACTTGTTTGGGACTGAGGTGTGTTAGTGCTGGTGATATCACACAAGGTCTATAGATTGTCTTTCTCAATTCTAACAGAACTTTTGTGTGAGTACTAATTGATTACACGATATAAGAGTATTTCAGTTGATGTTGCTCGTATTGGTCTTCAGTGTGGAAACATTTGAACTTTAAAACTTCAGTTTTCTCTCAGGATAACTGATAGCCTTATGTCACAATTGGGACTCTAAGATGTTTCTTCTTTGAATTTCATATTCTGTAGGATGCATGGCAGCCTTGGATGCAGAGCATTACTTGCAAGAAATTGGTGCCCAAGAAGGAAAGAGTGATTGATAAGCATAGGTTCTGTTGAATTAGAACTGAATTCGTGTCGCAAAATAATGGGAATCAGTCTAAATTCCACGTATCTGTTCAAAGAAATTATTATCATTATGATTTTTATGGATGAGAAGGAACTTTCTTGTAACGATTATCCAAGCCATCGGATGACGGATGGATGCAATGGCTAGTATCATTTGTTTTCATTCTATATTGTGGCAAAAGCTTTCAGACTTTTGCAGGTGATGTATGAAGGCTAAGAGTAACTACCCATTTCAGCTAAAGAGTTATGCTGTGACTGACGTTGTGAAAATGATTTAAGAGTATTTCTTAGGCATGTTTAAACCTGGCTGAACGTGTGATGTAAATGCTGTAACTTTGGGTTGGAAGAAAAGATGTTTTAGTTAGTAGTATAGGCATGGTCTTTCTTGCCTCACTGTTTTAATTGCAACTTGCAAACAAAAGAATTCTGTTTTTATTAAGTGTGCGCAGATCATTTCTTTCTCATTTGAATAACAAGCGTGCTTGTGTACGGTTGCCACCATATCAAACGATAATGGGCACAGTAGCTGAAAACCGTCTTAGCTCAGCTGAGCTTTCTTCCCACGATAGAAAGATCGATATAGAATTTATACTTGACAGGTTCAACCTTTAGATTATTATCAGTTACTTATATACTGCTGAACATTTACACTATAAATTATGAGTATTAGAATTTAATATTTGTTGAAATTTAGAATATATAAATACATCGTCTCGAAAATAACTGTATTAAGTTATACTGAATCCATACTAAATCCCCTCTGCCATGTAACATGGTTTTGACAAAAGAGAGCAAACTTCACTTGTCGAATGTTTTGTGCATGTCTTCCCTGTGCATCCAGGAAAAAACTCAACTCTTCCCGCTTCAGGAGTGGGGTTATCTTATTTCAAGGGTTCCTTCATTAAAAATTATACTGTGCAAATAAGGTAAAAACAAATTATTATGTACATTCGAACCTCTCTATAACAGTCTTATTTGTTCCGATATTTTTTGGTTTCTATAGTGAAGTGTTGTTATAGAGTACATATATTATAACAAAACATAAAAATCGGTTCGACAAAAAATTGGTTTTTATTGTGAATGAATGTCATATAAGAATTATTAGTTTGAGTACCCGTATGAATTACTAAAGAACTTAGTTCTTTACCGTATTTCTTAAACGTGAAGTAAAATAAGCAGTAAAATAAACACAACGATTTTTACGTGAAAAATCGCCCGGCTAAAAGTGCAAAACCATGACCTACTGCGTAGGTTTTTCAACTTCAACTCTACTAGAACAATGAGCCAAAATATATCAATTACAAGATTGTAATTCAATACTCTCCAGTACTCCTACTACGACTATTTGATTCACAAGTTACTCTAACTTGTAAAACAAACACTCACTCCAACTCACTAATTGTTTGTGATACTTAGATTACAATTCAATTTCCTATAATACATTCACTAGACTAACTCAAGAAGAACACAACCCTGGTACTCGACTAGAGTGCACAAATATAGTTCTTTAGCTGATGTGTAAAAGAATAATATCAGAAGTCCAAAATAGATAGTATTTAAATGCCCTAAACTTCAAGATCTTCTAGGAGTCCTATGCATAATCAACTTCTCATTTGATAGGACTCATATTGTTCCAAGGACTCCACAAGTTTTGGGACTCTTGTCTCTTACTAATTTATCCGTATCTTCTTGTGCAACAACCCTTATCACACGAAGCAACCTTCTTCCACCAAACTCGGACCTGGGTAACTTTGAGATAAAGTTACTATCTTGCACAGACGTTCAATCATCAACCTGAGGAGCTGGTCCTTTACCCTGAGGAGCTGGTTCTTAGAATAGTTAAGCAGCTACGTTGAGGACCTGGTTCTTCGAACAATGAATTTAAACAAACTTTGTTAATCATCAAAATCTCAATACTCAACAAATTCCTCCTTTTTGATGATGACAAACTTTGTGCACACTAGAACCAGGTAATCACAACAAGTCGCGATCAATCAACATGCACATTACACCATAGACAGACATATTCATAACAATACCCCCAACCCTGTCTTCCCCCTTTTGGCATCATAAAAAAGAAGAAGATGTTAGACATATGAATCATAGTTAATGAAAAATTCAAGGTCATACTGGGTACAACACACACTCAAGAATTATCAAAGAAAACAATCTAGGCTGATAATCCAATATTGTACGAAACATTAAAATAGTATAAGAGAAGTCATTTAGTAGTGCCAAAATAAGCCCAGGGCCTTGTCTTAAACCATTAGAATAAAATAAACTAAACATACTGCAAACTACTCAGACTAGAACAAAAAGAGAAAAAAGATTAAAGCATCACTAGGATATCAAAAGAGACTAAGGACACTGGGAAAGAACAAGTTCATAGTTGAGAGGTAGAGGGGGTCAATGCTTTCATAAGAGTGGCAATCTATTGGGCATGATCTTACTTATCTCTTCTGAGCTCTTCCCTAAGCTGCATGGTTTCTTTTCTCATCTCATCATTGTCTTCACGAAGCTTGGCATTCTCCTCAACAGTCAACTCCAACCTCTTACTGAGCTCTGCTGCCCTGCTTCTTCCAGGCAGAATAGCAGATCCTATTGCTCCTCTAACCCTGATCTACTCATGGCCACACTGCTTGAGGGTAACAACATCCAAAACATCATTATGATTTCCATACTTAATCTCAGGTAAGGCAATGTTGAGCTTGTCAAATAGCTCAGTCAACATGAAGCCATAAGGCATAGCATGCTTAGGCTTGGAAGTGTCTGCAGCTCTTTCCATGTGCTGAATCATTAGGATAGAGATATTGATAGGTCTACCAGCATCATGCAGTTCTATTACAGCCATGTCCAACAGAGTTGCCTCATGCCTTCTCTCAGACCTCTGCAGAATATAGGAATTGACAAAGTGAAACAACAGCTTGTGGAAGGGGGTCATATCAGTCTTGTACACTTTATGAGGAGCATCCAGTTCAACTTTTGGGAAGAACTTCCTTATGACCATAATTCCTGTGTCAACATCATTTTCTATGGCTGGCCACTTTTTCTTCAGGTAATTGTCAAATCCTAAAGATGAAATATTCAGAAGCATCCCCAGCTTCTCAGCATCAAACTCCATTTCAAACCCCCCTTACCTTACTTTTAACCACCTTTCCATCAAATTTGAAGTTTTTATAGAACTCCACCATAGCAGGAACACACACGGGGCGGGGGAAGGGGGGAGGGGGTATGTATTTCTATCCCTGTAACTCAAGTTTTTTTCAACTAGTTGAGTCATCCATTTTTCATTAGTGTTTGCAAGAATCTTCCCATTGAGTAATTTTTTTGTTCATGAACTCTGTGAGTCTATCAACCACAGTTGGTACATTCTTTCTCTTCTTTCCTCTACTGACCCTTGCAGATGGGGTAGCAGTTTTTGTAGGTTTGGCAACCTTTCTCTTTTGTGCAGAGGACTTTTCTGAAAAAGTAGACTCAGACTCATCTTCTCCATCCAACTCAACCACAAGTTCCACAACTGAAACTTGCTTCCTTGGCTTCTTGGAACCTCTGGACACCTTAATGATTTGTTAATCAACAACCTTTCTTTTACCTAGTGTAAGAGGAGTCCTGACAGGAGGAGCCACTTCTTTTCTTGTTGGAACTGCAGATTTTGTTGCTTTCACATGAGTCTTCCTAGGTTTCTTCCCTACCTCAGACAAGGGCAAGTCATCTTCATCATTGCTGTCCTCCTCATCTCCAGTGAAAGGAGTTAATAAGGGCCCAGGTTCTTCAGTCCTTTTCTGTCCACTTGCTTCTTTTAAAGGGGCTATGACAGTGTTCCTAATGGTCATAGAGCCTTCAGATTCCTCACTCATATTTTCATTCTCTTCCTCTCTTTCTTCATCCACTCCTTCACTCTCACTTGTCTTTTCTTGATCCTCACCTTCACTCTCAGAATTACCCTCTTCTTCACTATTCTTTTTTTCTTCTACAGAATCATCCACTTGTTTACCTATCCTATCTTTTGTCTCACTCTCCTTCTCTTCACCAGAATCTCCCTCATTCTCACTCTTTTCCTCTTCATTAGCGATGTCTTGAGTAGTATGTTCCTCATGACTGCCTACAACTCCTTCTTCCTTTTCACCCCCATTATCATCCTCATCCTCCGTCCAACTGAATAAAATACCATCAGATGCCTCCTTTTGCACTGGTTATTTACTCCCTTCCCTCTCAACCACAGGCACCACAGTAGTGGTATCTACCTCTTTCTCCAGAGTTCTTCCACTCTTTTCTAATCTAGGATTTTGATGGAACTTATTGAAGGATGATTTTCCTATTACGTTTAATATAGATTTGATTTAGCTTTTTCTCTATTTGTTCAACTACGTTTACATTGTGGTTGATTGAAGATCTCTCAATTGATTGTGCCTATTTAGTGTGTATTTCTTGGAAGAGAATGCATATTTAGGTAGTTGTTAAACAACATCACTCCTAACGATGTGAGAGATCAATACGGAGGGTTTAAAGGTAGGATTAAGAATAACAAAACATTGGTGTAATCCTAGTGAGCAGTAAACTAGTTCCAGTTAGTGTAGTTCAAAAGAATATGTCTAGTAAATTATGGTAGTTACTCGGAAGAGAATTACGATACTCATAGTACTCACGATCAGTAGAGAATACTTAGGCAAATTTATAGGAAACGTAGCGGGGAGGATTCCGACAATAGGGAAAATCATAACCTTAGACTGTTCCAAATCTTATTTACAACCTGTCCTTCATTAGTTATCAATTACTGCATTTTCATTACTTGGTTCTTTGTTAGTAAACATCAAATTCATCATTTAATATTTTTGAAGGTTGATTACTTGAATTCGTGCGAGTCTAGTGGCTGTAGTTAGTAGGTTAATTCCCTGTGAGATTCGACTCCGGACTTGTTAACCAGATTATATTTGCAACGACCACTAGACCTCTTAGGAGGCATAGTTGGGTGTGATCAAATTTTGGCGCCATTGCCGGAAAATTAACGGTGTTATTAATTGCAACTAAAAGAAGTGCTAGAATTCTTAGTTTAGTCGATTTTCTTCATTTCAAACTAATTATATTGAAATTCTAACGTTTGTAGTATTGGGTGTTACAGGTGCATGCCTAGAAACTCCTCAAGAACTGGTGAATTGTTCGAAGCATTATCAGATCCTGAGAAAGTTTTCAAGGCATTGAATCGTGCAAACAAGAAGGACAAACGGCAACATAACTCAACTAAACGAATCAAACTAGATATGGGTGACGTCATAGACGACCAAAACAACCGGAACAATGTGAACGACCCGAACAATCGGGGTGTGACACGTCTTGTGCCAGAAGCGGCCTTGTATGATTGGGCACAAAACACCGCTGAAAATCTGGCAACCACAATTGCAGTCCCTCAGATACAAGAAGAATCATTTCAAATCACAAACAACATGCTACACCTGCTGTAGAATAAGGGATTGTTCTCAGGGTCGTACATTGAAGACCCACAGCAGCATCTGAAAAACGTTTTGTCAATTTGTGTCACTCAAAGGTAGCTGAATGTGACATCAGAAGCAATCCGACTATTATTGCTTCTATTCTCAGTGATTGGAGAAGCTCAGACTTGGCTCAATTCGCTCCCCATAAATTCCATCACCATATGGGAGGAATTGGTTAAGCAGTTCTTGAACAATTTCTACCCGCCAAATAAGACTTCCAAGCAAGTTGATGAGATATTGAGCTTCAGGCAGAAACCATCCGAAACATTGCAAGAAACGTGGGAGAGGTTCAAAGGTATGTTGGTTAAGTGTCCACACCATGGCATTCCAGATCAGATGTTGGGAGAAAGGTTCTACATGGGACTGGCTAACAGCTTGAAGGCCAACGTTGATGCTTCAGAAGGAGGAGAATTTTTGAGCAAATCATTTAGAGAGTGTAAAGTCCTGCTAGATAAAATGGCTCAAAACTCACGATGGATGACAAGAGACACTACAATCACCCCTGTAGTTCACTCAGTAGCTTTGGACCCAAACAATTCCATAGCAGAGAATATGGCCACTTTGATGACGCAAATGAGTATCCTCACCAAGAAGATTGACGAATCAGGCCAGAAGCAGGTACACATAGTTGACACGACTAATGGAGGATTATGTACATCATGTATTAACCAACCATATGTATGCTCGTGGAGTAGTGAAAGCGACAACCAGAACTATCAAGAAAATATGAACTATATGGCCAACTATGGAGGACAGAGGCAAGGTGGTCAGAATTTGGGGCAACAGAATTAGCAGTATAGACCAGCACAACAACAGTACAACAATAGCAACAATCCTGGAGCTATACGACCACGTGGACAAGTTTACTAAAGGCAATAGGGATATAATCAACAAAATCAGCAGCTAGATTATCAACAGCCTCAACAACAACAAAAAGTGAGACAAGATGATGGGTTGTCTGAAATTAAAGGAATGTTGCAACAACTGATTGGGTCCAATGCAAAAATGCAAGAGAAAGTGGAAGCACATGACTCAGCAATAAAAGGCATTGAGATTCAATTAGGGCAGATATCTATGGCTCTGAATAATCATCCCCAAGGGACGTTACCTGCAGACACGCATGTCAATCCAAAAGAGTAGTGACCGAAGCAGCTTATGGTAGTGAGTTTAAGAAATGGTAGAGATCTAGATCTAGAGCAAGAAATTGCTCGCAAAAGTTGACAAACTGAAACACTTGTGCCAGTAGCCACTGAGGTAGATGATTCAACAGGGTTAACTGAGGTAATGGTACAACATGCACAAGAGGACACAAGCAAAGAAAAAGAGGTAATGAAAGAGACAAAGGTAGTGCAAGAAAAGGAAGTAGAAGCAGTGCCCGAGCAGGATCAAACTCAAATCACAGGAAGGAAGCGACCTCCAGCACCCTTCCCACAGATATTGGCCAAATATCAGAAGGATGAGCAGTATAAGAAATTCATGGAGATGCTCAAGAAAATCCAGGTGAACATTCCATTGATTGACTCCTTGAGGGAGATGCCTGGGTATGTAAAAATGATGAAGGACTTGATGTCTCGCAAGTATGAGTTTCAAGACTTGGCCACTGTTACACTAACCCAGATCTGTAGTGCTGTCATGATGAGACGCAAAACTAAGAAGTTGTACGACCCAAGGAGCTTCACAATCCCATGCACAATAGGCAGCTATGATTTTGCTCAAGCATTGTATGATTTGGGGGTGAGCATAAACTTGATGCCCTTGGCTATCTATAAAAGACTAGGCATTGGAAGAGCAAGACCCACGTCCATGTTACTACAGCTTGCCGAACGAACGGTGAAGAGGCCATCAGGTATACTTGATGATGTACTGGTGCAGGTTGGAAGGTTTGTGTTTCCGGCAGATTTTGTCATTCTGGACTGCCGGGTTGACGAGGAGATTCCCATAATTTTGGGAAGGCCATTCTTGGCCACGGGGAGAGCTCTAATCAATTGTGAAACTAGGGAGCTAAAGATGAGACTGAATGATGAAGAGATAACATTCAATGTGCAAAAGTCTATACGGCGACCCAGTGAGTTTGCAAATTGCTCTTTGTTAGAAGCTGTGGATGTGATCATGGAGGAAGATGATGAAGCCCTTAATACAAAAGATCCTCTTGCGGCCTGCCTCATAAACTTAGAAGAGGTAAATGGTGAGGACTTGGCAGAGTGGGTGTTAGATCTTGAAGGCCAAGGGTACTGTAAAAGAGAGCCTGAATTCGAGTCTTTACACTTAGAAGAGAGAAAGACTCCTCCAGCTAAGCCATCGATCGAAGAGCCACCACAGTTGGAATTAAAACCACTACCATCTCACCTCAGGTATGCTTTCTTGGGACCTAACTCGACTTTACCTGTTATTATCTCATTTGGTTTGTTAGATATGCAGGCAGAACAACTTTTGCAGGTGTTAATAGAGTGCAAAACTGCAATTGGGTAGACTATTGTAGATATTAAGGGGATCAGCCCGGCCTTCTATATGCACAAGATTGTACTAGAATAGGGTCACAAACCTTCCAGAGAACATCAAAGAAGGCTGAACCCCAACATGAAAGAAGTCGTGAAAAAGGAGGTGATCAAGTGGTTAGATGCAGGAATCATTTTCCCCATCTCTGACAGCAACTGAGTTAGCGTAGTTTAGTGTGTGCCAAAGAAAGGTGGAATGACTGTGGTGCAAAATGAGAACAACGAGTTGATCTCAACAAGAACAGTCACATGATGGCAAATTTGTATAGACTACAGAATATTGAACAAGGCCACCTGAAAAGACCATTTTTCGTTGCCATTCATTGATCAGATGCTAGACAGATTGGCGGGGAGGTCCCATTTTTGCTTTCTGGATGGATACTCGGGGTATAACCAGATCTCTATTGCTCCAGAGGATAGAGTGAAAACTTTGTTCACCTGTCCGTATGGCATCTTTGCCTTTTGGAGAATGTTGTTTGGCCTCTGCAATGCACCCGCCACATTCCAAAGGTGCATGATGGCCATTTTCACAGATATGGTAGAGGAAATAATAGAGGTTTTCATGGATGACTTCTCAGTGGTGGGGAACTCATTCGAGGATTGGCTTATGAACTTGAAAAGAGTATTGAAGAGGTGTGTGGAGACTAATCTGGTACTGAACTGGGAAAAGTGCCATTTCATGGTACATGAAGGTATAGTCTTGGTACATCTAGTGTAAAGTAAGGGCATTGAAGTAGACCGTGCTAAACTTGATATAATTGAGAAGTTACCACCACCCACTTCTGTCAAAACCATAAAAAGTTTCCTCGGCCATGCCGGCTTCTACAAGCGGTTTATAAAAGATTTCTCCAAAATTGCTAACCCTTTGTGTAAATTGCTTGAAAAAGATCACCCCTTCGTGTTTTCTGATGACTGCAGTGTAGCATTTGAGGAGTTGAAGAAGAGACTGGTGACTGCACCAATCATAGTGGCACCCGACTGGGAACAACCTTTTGAGCTTATGTATGATGCAAACGACTATGCTGTGGGAGCAGTTCTTGGGCAGAGAAAAGATAAAGTCATGCATCCGATCTACTATTTAAGTAGAACTTTGAGCGGTACCCAACTGAATTACATAGTGACAGAGAAAGAGATGTTAGCCGTGGTGTTCGCATTTGATAAATTTAGGTCATACCTGATAGGCTCGAAGGTAATTATTTATACTAACCATGCTTCCCTCAGGTACCTAATTGAGAAAAAGGAGTCAAGTCCATGCCTAATTCGATGGGTGCTACTGCTACAAGAGTTCGACTTGGAAATACGTGACCGAAAGGGAACAAAAAACCAAGTTGCTGATCATTTGTACAGGTTTGAAGGAGCGAAAAAGAAAGTTGAGGTGGAAGAGATCATGGAGACTTTCCCAGATGAACAACTTTTAGCCACGAGCCTTGAGGCAACGCCATGGTATGCGGATATTGCAAATTACCTGGAAAGCGATATTGTCCCTTATGACTTGTCCTCTGTGCAAAAGAAAAAGTTCTTTCATGATTGTCGCATGTATTTCTGGGATGAACCATATTTGTTTAGGATTTGTCTTGATAACATGATCCGGAGATGCATTCCCGAGATAGACCAATCTTCTGTTTTGCAGGCATGTCATGCTTCCCCGTATGGAGGTTATTTTGGAGGAGTAAGTACAGCTGCTAAAGTGTTGGAGTCGGGTTTTTATTGGCCGACGTTGTTTAAAGATGCACACTTCTGGGTGAAAAGTTATGATGAGTGCCAACGGACGGGGAATATATCCCGTCGACATGAGA